GAGTCTCCAGCATGACTCCCCAGATGTGCACATCTCACTCATTATGTATGTATATACTGCCCCTCCCTCCCACCTGCCATACCTATTACTGTAGACCTATGTGTCACTAGCTGTGCTCAGTTAATACCATTTGCTGATGAGTATATGTGGTGCTTTTTTCCATTCTTGGAAACTTCACTTAATAGTATGGGTTCCAGCTCTAACCAGGAAATATAAGATGTGCTAGATCACCATTGTTTTTTAGAGCTGAATAGTACTCTATGGTATACATATACCACATTTTATTAATCCATTCTTGGATTGATGGGCACTTGGGCTGTTTCCACAGCCTTGAAATTATGAATTGTGCTGTATAAACATTCGAGTGGCAGGTGTCTTTTTTGTAGAGTGTCATTGGATCTTTTGGGTAGATGCCCAGCAATAGGATTGCTGGATCAAATGGTAGATCACTTGTATCGCTTTGGGTATCTCCATATTGCTTCCACAGAAGTTGAACTAGTTTGCAGTCCACCAGCAGTGTAGGAGTGTTCCTCTCTCTCCGCATCCATGCCAGCATTTATTGTTTGGAGACTTTTTGATAAAGGCCATTCTCACTGAGTTAAGTGATACCTCATGGGTTTTGATTTGCATTTCCCTGATGATTATAGATGTTGAGCATTTTCATATGTTGTTGGCCATTCTTTGTCTCTTTAGAAAAGTTTCTGTTCAATCTTTGCCCACTTTTTAATGGGGTTATTTGGTTTTCTTGCTGATTTTCGTGAGTTCTAAGTATATTCGAGTTATCAGCCCCTTATTGGATGCGTAGGATGCAAAATTTTCTCCCATTCTGTAGGTTGTCTCTTTACTTTCATGACTATTTCTTTGGCTATGCAGAAGCTTTTAGTTTGATCATGTCCCATTTTTATTTTGTTTTGTTGTCGTTGTTGCGCTGCTGTGATTGCCTTTGGGGACTTCTTCATAAACTCTTTGCTAGGCGATGTCTAAGAGAGTGTTTCCACTTTTTCCTCTAAAATTCTAATAGTTTCATACCTTAGGTTTAAGTCTGTTATCCAGTGTGAGTTGATTTTTGTGAGAGGTGAAAGGTGTGGGTCCTGTTTTAGCCTTCTACAGGTGGCTATCCAGTTTTCCCAGCACCATTTATTGAAAAGGGATTCTTTTCCCAGCGTATGCTTTGCTGCTTTGTCAAAGATTAGATGGCTATATGAGGATGGTTTTATATCAGGATTCTCACATCGTTCCACTGGTCAATATTCCTGTTTGTGCAATACCATTATTGTAATCTACAGCTTTGTAGTATAGTTTGATAACTGGATATAAATAACTCCCATTTTGTTTTGTTGCCTAGAATTGCTTTTGATATTCGGGTCTTCTTTGGTTCCATACGAAGTGTAAAATTATTTTTTCATATCTGTGAAGAATGCTGATGGGATTTTAATAGGTATTGCATTGAATCTGTAGATCAGTTTGGGTAGTATAGACATTTTAATGATGTTGAGTCTGCCAATCCATGAGCATGGTATGGATTTCCATCTGTTTACATCCTCTGCTATTTCCTTCCTCAGTGTTTCATAGTTCTCTCTGTGGAGGTTTTTTACCTCCTTGGTTAAGTATATTCCTAGGTACTTCAAGTTGCATATTATCACACAAAATATGTTTCTGGAAATATTTATTGAATGCAGTGCAATTCAGAGAGGGGAGATAAATGTAATATTTACATGGAAAGACATCATTTCCATTTTTATTTAAATATTGCAGGCATCAAAGTGTTTTTCCACATTTTAAGAAATAGCCTATTAGTGGGTCATGAAACCAATTTAGTGGGTCTCAATCAGAAATTTTTTTTCAAAATTCAAAATTCAGAAAGTTCAAAAAAATTCTAAGAAATTAGAATAGAAAATATCAAAGTACATGTATCAGTCAGGATCCCCAGAGAAACAGAGCCAATAGGAGCCATATATACATTACATATATAAAATAGATATGCATAGATACAGATCTATACCTAGATAGATATTTGTATACCTGTATACAGGTATACAAATCTGTATACCTAGATAGATGTCTATTTTAAGGAATTGAGCCATGTGACTGTGGAGGTTGGCACATCTAAAATCGGCAGGGCAGGTTGCAGGCTGGGGACTCAGGGAAGAGTTGACATTGAATTCTGCTGGCAGAATTCCTTCTTGCCTGGGGAAGCTCAGTCTTTTCTTTATTAAGGCCTTCAACTGATTAGGTGAGGCCCACCCATATTATGGAGAATAATCTGCTGTACAAACAGTCTACTCATTTCAGTGTTAATCTCATCTAAAAATGCCTTCACAGAAACATCTAGAATAACGTGTAACCAAATATCTGGGCACCGTGGCCGAACTGTGATTGACATATAATATTCACCACCACAGTACACGTCATATGGTGAGAGGAAGTGCACTCTGTGAAACCTTGCGTTTCCCAGGCCGTGGATTATGTTTATCTTAATGTTACTAGCTTCAAGGCCTAGCCCAACGCTTTGTGCAGGATATGATGAATATTGGTTAGACCAAATGACTTTCATAGACAGGAATGGCTGTGATTTTTTTGAGTGACTCCAATCAGTAACATCTTACGTGCATTTTTTTCGTATTCTCATAACAACTGTGCAAATGAGGAATTATCATTTCCTAAATCAGAAACTGATACTGAAAGAAGTTGGGTATCTGGCCTGTATTGATGCAGCCGGCAAACTAGAGAAACTTGAACCAGCTATGTGTCTGCAAAGCACATTTGCTTCCTTTATATCAGGGGTAGCAAAGAGGGTCCAACTCCTGCACCAACCCCAGTCCATCCTGCTGAGAGCTGAGAGTTTCCACTCGGGCTCTGCTGAGAAGAGAGCCCCTCTATGGGAGCAGGATGAGGTGCTCACATTTGGTATCTTGGCTCCACATTAGATTGTGTTTCAAAAATAACATGAGAGAGGGAGGGAACAATTTACTCAAGGTCATTGTTCAATATGATAAGGAGAGAATTTAAAATTTACCAATTTTCAGCGCTGAATATGAAATTGCAGTGTTTATTTCTTTCGGGATCTCATTAGCACTTCATGCAAGCAGTCTAGTTGGGTGTGGGCAGACAAGATTGAGAAATATAACCTTGTCTGGCAAAAGACAAGGGAGAAAAAAATTATATTTTGTGTGTTTTTTCTTTAAAGCTATCACGATATCTTTTGCACCACCTCTTCTTTATACACAGATGCTTAAGTCTAATGCTCCTTTTAAACTCCATGCTTCAACACCAACTTATAAAACATTATTTTAGTAGTTTAACAGAAAAAATAATATCTGTGCATGGGATCTGAGACATACCTTATCTCAAATTCCATTCTATAGTAAGTTACTGGGATATTTCTTTCAAACCCTATGAGATTTTCCCCTCCCTTTGTTAAATGATAAGAATTTGTTTCTATTTCATCTTGCATGTTTTTTCCTAAAAGGTAGCTTATAAACATGGGAGAACCACTGTTGCTTCCCAGGAGAAGAAAGTTACCTGCAGCCACACTTCCGTATTCTTTTCTTTTTCATTTGTTTTTCTGTGCTGTGAAAGAGTTTGTCATTTTCTCTTACACCGAATGTGGGATTTGCTTTAGAAGTGTGCATGACAGCACTGCATGTTCTCTGTGATAAGCACCCAACTTTGTAGGCAAACCCATTTACCTCCTGAAATCTATGAAGGCAGGATTTTTGATACACAAAATTACAATCCATATAATGCGTTGTTTTTATTTATATACTGAGAGCCAAGCAGAGAATTGTTGAATTTTCTAAACATTCCCAAATTTTCAAATATGAGTCATCATAGTGGCTATTTCCACCCTCTGGGAGTTTAACCAATGGGAGTTAACACCTCTGGCTCAATGGCCGTGGCATCTCGGGTGAACAATACAGATGGTTCTTTTATATAAAGTCTGATTATTTCATTTCTTCATCAGCACTCATGATATAAAATATGAAAACATTATTAAAATTAATGTCATTGTCACTTGGGAATTTTACCTCACTATTTTCCATTCCATTCTCTTTGGGAAATCTTGTAGAAAGAAGAACAACCAAGAATAAACAACTAAGAAAAGACCTGGATGCCAGCTAAGTCAGTCACGGTGTTGTTAACTGGCAGGGAACAGGCAGCGTTTCCCAGGTGTATCTGCTTACACGGGTTCCTGATTCCGCAGTCTGCTCAGAGGGCGAAGAAGAGCCTCATTCTGTGGCTGCAAAATTGTCAAATCCCTTGCATACGCTCCTTTACACACATAGAAAAGGAACATAGAGCATTCAACTTTGCTGGATTTGTTCATAAAACAAAAACATAGATAAAAGTGATGTCCTTCCCTGTACAGTTAATATACTTCTGAGATGACCTACACACACAAGTGATAGAGGAATTGTCACCTGAGATATTGGAAACAAGATTGCACAGAGCCCTTGTGAAATAATTTATAATAAAGGAAGACCAGATAGGTAGAGCAGAATGCAGAGTGTGCTAGTTGTTCTTCAGTTCATTTGAGGCAAAAGCCTACTTTACGATTCAAATTCATCCCTCCAAAGTCAAGATCTGAAAATATTAAATAATAGTCATGTTAATAGGGAATGGTGCTTTAAAAAAAATTTTTTTAAGTTAAACTCACGTGCAATTTACATATTGTCTCATGAATCACAGCTGTTGTGCAAAATAGCTAAAGATAAGTTGCCATGTTTGTACTCATTTTGTGAAGTCCAAAGAAGTTAAAAGGTCAGTTCAAGGTTACAATGCTGGCTGTAGTGGTAGAACTGCAATAAGCATTTCACTCTGTCCTACCTCAAGGCCACTCAAAACCTGTGTGTGAGATCATCTAACCCCTAAAAGATTTTGGTGCTTGTGTCATCCTGGATGAACCTTGAGCACTTTTACTTTGTAAAATTTCCAGGACTGTAATAAGAATGCAGAGGGGAGCAACCAATCCAAGTTGAATAATGCCTCCCTGGAACCTAGAACCTCTGAGCTGAGTCTCAAAGCAAAGTTACTGAAGGGAGGCAATGGGGGAGGAAGAAGAGGAGGACTTGAGGAAGACACAGTCTAAGCAGAGGCAGTGACACATATTAATATAAAGATATTTGCATATGAGAGACAATGGCTTATGTGGGGACTTGTAAATTATGGACACAGAAAAAGAATAATCCTTTCCATGGTATCCATCTATCATAGAGGGCTTATGCTGTGTGTGCCTCACCTCCTGTCATTAGACTACTCGCTCCCAGGGGACAGAGGTCCTGCTTCTCAGATCTTCACATCCCACAGAGCACTTCACAGGTTCAGGCACTTAATAAATTTGATGAATAAGTGAATAAGCAATGTGATTTAAAGAAGTCATTAGCTTCACTAAGCCTTTATCTCATCCATTAAATAGGAGTAATAATAGCATCTTCTTGGTACATCTATACAAGACTTAAATAAGGAAATTCCTGTAGCGATATTGGTATAGTGCACGGCACACAATAAGAACTTAATTTATCTTAGCTAGTGTTTATTATTATTGGTTCAGGTGCTTGTGTTTAAGTTCAAGGTAGGATCCAATGTGAACTGATAAATTCACCACTGGAAATAGAAACCAATATGGAAACCTCCGTATAAAGCAATGAGAGTTGTTTTTTTTTTTAATTCCTTTTCCCATCTCTACAACCTTGGAAGATGCTGCTTTTTGTATTTTTTTCCAGCATGAATACAAAATCAAATGAGAGGCAAGACGCAAGCTGTCATCTGACCTTTTGACATACTACACACCGGTCAGTAATGAAGAGACGCTTTTAGCTCTGCAAGAAGAATATTCAACAGTGAGGGTAGGTGAGAGGTATGTTTTCTCTCCTCTGTAGCATTAAATGTATTATTCAGTATTCTTCCATGCAGGAGTGGAAAATATTTCATTAGTGGTGAAAAAGTAAAGTTCATATATATTTATGTATGTGTATTATACATATATGTATGTTTACTTCTACCTTTAAACTCCCAAGTCCTAAGCTAGTCAGAATCTCAAGCTAGTAAGAAACGAACCTTGATAGAAATAAAATACATTCATTTGATTTTTTAACTTCTACTTAATTATTCACTGAGCTTGTTGCTCTGCATCATATAGATATTATTTTATTAATATTAATTGCTTACACTTATTTTGTTTTTGCTACGTCATTATCTAATTTGATCCTCATGATGACTTTAGGCGATAGGTGCTATTATTAATCCCATTTACATATAAGGAAACCTAAACTCGAGAGATTAAATAATTTGCTCAAGATCATACAGCTAGAAAGTTGCAGGCTGGCATTTAAGTCCAGCTCCGTGTCAATCTAAACCTAGTACCTTTAATCACTATACTCTACTAGTAGAACTACTGATGAAGGAATCAAGAACACACGGATGTATAGGTGAATGACTGAATGAATAATTACAACACTATTGATTGTCTTTTTTTAATTGGTATGATTTTTCTGTGAAAGTCTAAATTTATAAGTCATATTTATTTTCCTGTTACAAAGTTAACTGCCTAATGCTGTTCCTTCAACAGGATCATGATGTAGCTGACATGGTAATATGATCAACACAACCTCAAGAAAATTGACTCTGATTAAACCAGGGTTAAAGGGTTAAACTCTGATTAAACCAGGGTCCTATTTTCTCAAGGATGTCAAAGATTCTAGGTAAGGGGCCCTTCCTAATTTTGTGCAGGAGCAGGTCATAAATTCTCTTGACAAGAGTACAACCATCTCAACACTCCAGGCTCCTGTTATCAATCACCTCCCCTTCAACTCAAATGCCCTTTGTATGCTAATTTGGAAATTCTGTGCCCCTTTGTATCATTGACTTGGTCAGGGAGCTCTCTAAACTACAAAGGGAAAGGTCTGTGGTCTTCTAAGCATTCACCTTGCAAGTGAGACCTATATTTTCTTGGGGAAAGAAGCCAAAAAGAGCTAAGAGTTTATAGACATCTTCCAAAATCCTGAGCTACAGAGAAGAAGAAAGGGTCCGAAAGAAGACTCTTTCTGCCAGTGGGTCTGAACCAGTTTGGTTCATAGGTATTTTTGTGCATAAATGTGAGAATCTTGTATTGAATAAATGAGTTTTACATTTAGAATATTTTCTCTTCTATATTAAGCATATTAAAAATTTCTCTTGGTGAATGTTGATTTCTGCCTTCTACCTCCACCTCATATAAATTCCAAGTAGTTTGGGTCTCATCCCAGCAGTAGGAGGAAAGGGGTGAGGGGATTCTGGGAGGGGGAGGTGGAAGCTGACCCTCTTACTTTGCCTGGGCCCAGGGCTGCCATGTTGGACAACTCCAGAGCATGGCATTCACGCTGCACGCTGTGTGAGTGTGGATAACACCCTTAGACACGTGTGATATGGCTGCCCTGGCATGGCCTTGCCTTAAACCAAACTGGGAAACAGATGAAGTGTGTCATAGTTCCATCCTACCTCTCTTATTCCATTTCCTTCTTTTGCTTGGTGGTGGTCTTTCTCACCCCCTCCCCCACTCCCTCCCGAAGCACCGCCTCAGATGGCAAGGTAGTGTGTGTGTGTGTGTGTGTGTGTGTGTGTGTGCGTGTGCTTAGTACAAGCACACACACTCAGTACATGCATGAAATTCCAGTCAGCACATGTGGTTGGTCCACCCCTGACCCCATGTTTTATGAGCTGGATGACCTTGGGCAAGTTACTTAACTTCCTTTCACTTCAGGTTCCTAAATGTACCATGAGGACAAGAGTATTATTCACCTCATAGGATTGTTGTGAGTACTAAGTACTAAGGCGTGTGAAGTGTTTGCCCTCAGAACCGTCAATGAATATGAGCTATTTTCAGTGCTATTATCATTATCACGGGGAGATCTTGCTCACCCTCTAGTGACAGTAAGTAGAGATGTTCAGAGGGGTCTGATAGATTATGCGACCCCACCCCTTTCATTTCAAAGGAGTCAACTGAGGGTACATAGATAATAGGAAATTCTCCAAATGTCATAGCTGGTTGTGGAAGAACTGGAGTCCCCTGCCTCCCAGGCCAGGATATTTTTCACTGCATCAAACATTTGATTAAATTTCCACGAGACTCGTGGGCTTCAGCTACCCTGTCTTCAATCACGACCAATTTCAATCAGGCATATGTGTATCTGAATGATTATAATCAGCTGCTAGGAAAGAAAGTCCTGATTGATCAACTCATTTTCATCCTCCTCTCCCTAACGTGGGATTAATGAGACAAAGGTTTTTGACTCACAAATTCCCAAGGAGTAAAAGACAAAAGGGGCCTTGCTCCTGAGGAAGGGAGGATGGTGCTGGCAACTCCCCCCCCCCATCCCAGCCCCCTGTGTTTCTGAGGAGCTGGGCTCTCTCTCAGCTCTGCCTGCAACTCTGCAGAAGCCAGGAAAGGAGAACCAGACCTCCCCCGAGTCTGGGAACCGGCTCCTCCAGAGAAATGTCATAAGGGACTTTTGCCCAGACTAACCTCACTCACCCTTGAGCACTCCGTTTAAATCCCATTTCTTCAGAGAGGTCTCTTCCTCAATCTCTCGACCAAGTTAGTCCCACCCCACCGCCTTTGGAATGCACAAGCAGTGCCATCTAAACCACTTTTCTCCCTTGGGAGACTTTTATGGAGGAAGTCATATTACCACATTGTATTTTCAGGTTACCTTCTCTTATGACATTTCACTAAAGAATTATGGTAATTCTCTAATCACTGACATTAAGGAAAAGGAAAAAAAAAGCCTACATTTTTTATTCTTTTTTTCTTTTTCTAACCACTTACAATGGATGTTAGCACACTAACATTCATCCATCGTTTCTAATGTAAAAGTTTCTAACTATACATTTCTCTCAAAGCCGGGTATATACGTTCTATACAGACATTCTTTTCAAGCTTACTCAGGACAATTATGAAAATTGACTTTGTACTAAGCCATAAAGGAACTCAGTGAATTTCAAAGGATTAATTCATTTTTAACCATAATTCAATTAAGTTAGAAATCAATAAAAGGTAACTAGAATAGCCTCAAACTTTTTAACATTTCTAAAATACTCATGTGTGTACTTCAATTGCTGAACATAATGTCCAATATAGAGCAGATCATTAGATCAAGGTTGGGATTGACCAAATTATCAATATTTGTTCTGTCTGTTGGTTGTGTGATCCAAGTGCTAAGTGAGGAGTATTAAAAATTTCCTACTATGATGGTGAATATGTCATTTTCTCCTTACAGTTCTGCCAATTTTTTATTGATATATTTTGAGGCTGTGCTATTATTACATACCTACAGTTTTCAATTGTTTTATCAACCTTGAGACTTGATTATTTTATAAATATGGAATGATCATCTATTTTCATAATGCTTTCTGCTTTATGGCCTATTTTATGTGATGTGTTATAACAGCAAAACCATATTTATTTTTATTAGAATTTGCTTGACATATAAGTTTCCATTATCTTACTTTCAACTATTCTACCTTTTAGTTAGATCTCTTATAAAGAGCTAGAATTCTTAAAAAAATTTTAGAACTCTCTTTTTCAATAAACTTTTCTGAAATAATTTTAGATTCACAGAAAGTTTACAAGTATGGTAAAGTTCCCATATAACCTTTACCCAGCTTCTTCCCTTATTAACACATCATATAACCATGGTACATTTGTCAAAACAGAGAAATCAATATTAATAAAGTACTATCAACTAAACTATTATTCAAATTTTACCAGTTTTTCCACTAATGTCATTTTTCTGTCCCAGAATCCAATTCAGGATACTATAATGCATTTAATACCTTTATGTCTTAATTAAAGAGCTTAGCCCTTTTCATTTATTGTGACATAATATTCTTAAAATTATTTTTACCATCTTATCTCATGTTATTTGTGCTGCTTTTGCTAATTCCTTTTCTTTTCTTTGACTTCTGATCTATTAATTGAATTTTTTAATTTAAATTATTATCTTTATCTCTAAAGAGTATAGAATTTATACAAGTGATTTCCTAAATTTTAAGTGGTTATCTTAAAAACTTTAATAGGCATTATTAATAAAGTCTAATGTTAATCAATGTTAACTTTAGTCACCTCCCTCTCAAAAGATACATTAATATTTCTATTATTTTAATTATGTCTTCTTTTAAGTTCCTAAGACACCATTATTATTTTTATAATGGTGTCTTGGGAAGTGTTTGTTTCAGATGTATCAACTAATTCAACTAAACTCTTTACTCATCAGCCCATCTTACACTTAAGACCTTCCACCTGGGATTTTTTTCCTCTTCTACTTGAAATAGTTCTTTGGTAAAGATTTTGTTAGTAAAATACCTCTGCTTTCACATTAAAAATGGCTTTATGTTACAGCTGTCCTTAAAACATAGGTTTATTAGGATATAAAATCCTAGGTTTGCAGCTATTTGCTCTTAGTTCTTTTTAAATATATTTCACTGGCTTCTCCCCTCACTGTTGTTGAGAAGTTTGCTGTTAGTCTACTTGTTGTTTTGCAGATAACCTGTCTTTTTTCTCCCACTGCATTTATGATCATCTCTTTTTCTTTGGCATTCTGCCAGTAGATTTATTTTTATTTAAGCTGCTTGGGGGTTTTAAGTCTTCCTGAAACTAAGGATTCATTAAGTCTTTAAATTTCTTTACATTTAAAAATTATATACATTATTTTAAATTGTTTAAATTCTTTCAAATTCTCAGCCCTTGTTGCTTCTAACTTTGTCTCTCACTCATTCCATTATTTTATTTTAGAATTCTAAATAATTCCTAATAGTTCCAATTAGATGCATGTTAGCACTTCTCACTCTACCCTCCACACCTCTCTTCTCCTCGTTTACACTGTCCACCTCTGTATTTCTTCATGTAGCTTTGGGTAATTTTTTAATATTTTCTAATTCATAATTCTTTTTTCAGCTGTATATCATTTGCTCTTTAGCTATTCCTTAATTTTTAAATTTCAAGTTACTTATTTATATGTAGAAGTCCTATTTGATTCATTTTCAGGCACTTTTGTCATATTTGATGGTCTCCTCAACTCTATTCATGTTAGTCCTATCTTTTATTTATTTAAATTGAAACAAGTCAAACATACAAATGTTTATACTCTGATAGCAAGCGAGAATCAAGATAAAGCTTCCATGAGACTCAGGGAAACAAATTTATACGACATCATATCAGACCATACTTATTGACCTAATATCACTTCCCTCTATCTTACAGTATCAGGCAAGGTTAGCTGTGATTTTTTTTGAGTTAGGATGAGTTTATAATGTGTGTCCAAGGTCTCCTCCAAGAGCTGTGTAGCCCAGAGCCCAACACTCCTTTCTTTCCACCATCTGAATTCAGTTTTCTAGACAACTTGACAACTCCCAATTCTCAAAATGACCCATCAGAACACAGCAAGCCATAAAAATTGCATTGAGACCTTCGCAGTGCAGCAAAGCAAGCTAGTCAGTTAAACTTGATCAACAAACTTGTTGTAACAAGGAAATTCCATAATCTGTCTCCAACCTAACTCTCCAGCCATATCTCTTGCCAAAATTACTCCCCTATCCACTCTCCAGCCCTGGTATCTTCCTCTTTGGCATTATAGAATTTCCTGTGATTCTCCACATGTGAGATACTATGTCATGCCACTATGTCTTACCTAGTCTGTTCTTTCTGCCTGGCATGCCCTGACACTTCTCATTCACCTGGTGATCTCCTATAGCTCCTTCAAGAAACTAATCAATAATTTTCTCCTCCATGAAGGCTTCTCTGATCCACCAGCTCAGATCTTTCTAATACCCCTTCCAGTTGTGTC